AGGCAAGCTTACTCACGACAGGGCATAGTCTCATGATCAAAGCTGAGTTCTGGTAGCTAACATTGGAGGCGTATGTATGGAACGGGGAGGGATAGCCGGCAAGCAGGAAGAGAGCCTCGAGAGCAGCGCTTCAGGGAGTGGAGATGTTGCTCAGGTCGGCATTTCGATTCGCTGGCATAAGCTCCAGAGCTGCGGGAGGCCAACAAGCCTGATAGCTCCTTGTACCTCCCCTTGCTTGCCATGCCGCTTGCCTACCTAGCGAAGGGTGCGGGCGATCAGCGATCTCTGCAAGGCGCCCAAATAGGGATGGACGGGGAAGAGAGGCGGTGTTCAAGGTTATTGGACTGGATTCCTGTGCTGTGCTGTGCTGTGCTGTGCTGTGCTGTGCTGTGCTGTGCTGTGCTGTGCTGTGTTGTGTAGTGCTGTGTTGTGTTGTTCTGGCTGTGCAGATGTAATTTGAGGTCCAAGAAGAAGAGGTTTGCACAATACGGAGCCCAAAGTACGCGGAACAGACAACAGCGTGCGTAAATGGGTGCAACTGGATGAAGTGCTGTGCGAAGAATAGGCAGTAACAGGACTGCCGATAGCGATAACGGAATCCCTCGGCGCGCCCCATCTTCCTCTTCGTGTATAAAGAAATCCTGGAGGCTGGGAAGATGTCGATATACTAACATCTAGCATCAGACCTAGTAATTTAGGATTGTAACCCCTCAGCGGACCCAGAGCGTCTCCGTCACCATCCGCCCATACACTCGGGAACTTAGCCAACTCACCCCATCCGCACATATTATTATCCATCTCAACTTTTCCGTTATCGGCACGTGATGGCAGTTTCTCCCACCAGCCGCACCTAGCATGCGAACCCTTCCCAGAGGCAGGCCCCCCAAAAAGGCCTCAGAAAAACAATGGCACAACTCTCTTCGACAGATCAGCCTGTGCAGACGCCTAAACCAGAACCCCCGTCCCACCGTGATGCAGGTGAGTATTGGCCTTACAGTCCGTCCGAGCTCAAAGTGACCATCATTCAGATCGACCCCAAACCCCTTCTGCTTCGAAGTCTCCCGCCACTCCTGCAGACGTTGACGACAACCCGCGAAGTCCCAAGCGGCGACGGCTCTCCGCAGATGAGGAGCAGCAGATAATCAAAGCAGAGGTTGACCCGTATGGCGCTGTAGGGCACTCTGTGGCTGCAAAAGATACAACAGCCCTTGGGAGTCAGGATGGAAACCTCGAGACAAACCCTCCTCAGCAACCAAGCCTTTCCGCGGATGGGGATGCGCAAGTCGTCAACACTGTGGTTAAGGTGGAAGGCTCTGAAGGACAGGCTGTGGCTGTGAAATCCGCGACTATGCCTGGAGGCCAGGATGGAAAACTTGCGACAAGACCTCCTCAGCAACAGTCTCCTGCGGCGAACACCCGCCTGGATAATTTGCCTGTCCTGGACAAGCAGTCTTCACAACTTTTGTCCTTCCTATCTCGGTTGACACCGGCCGAAGCAATGGGTTTGTCGAGCGCACCAAGTGCCCCAATCACCAAAGAGTACGCCGCGTTACGCGCTTCGTTCGATCGGACCAGGAGGCTCCTCAGTCCTGGATGGCCCTTTCTGTCGCCACACGATCTGGGACTGCGCGATAGCAGTCAAATCGAGATCATCCGCAGGGCCAACCAGGCAATCTTCATGTCCAGCATTTTCACAGGGGAGATAGGTCTTCGCGACATGGACAGGAGTTTCCTCGCCGTGTTCGTGCCCGAAAACGGTAAATTACTAAAGGCACAGGCTTCTATGTATCTCGAATTGAAGACCCAGGGCTTCATTACTGCCTGGAGAACAGGCGCTGCTCCTCCCAACGTTGTTATGGCCGACCTCTTCGGCCCCGACCTCGACAAAGCGCTGTTGGCGAGAAGGCCCGGCACAACCGGCTTGGCTCCTACTGAGCAGGAATTCCTCGTCAGGCTTGCATCCCGCCGCGACATTCTGCAGAGCCATGTCAGGACCAACACCCTTGATCAGCTCCCCTTGAAGTATAAGTGGGAGGACTTTAGCCGAGAAGTGTCCTCATATCTCATCAAACATATCGAAAACTCCTCCAATTCTGGCGAAGGTGCCTTCAACGAGGGTAACGATCCCACTAGGAGCCTCCATCGAGATCAGATGGAAGGGCAATTCTCTATTCACGGCCCGCCGCTCCCGGTCTCGGCAACCGACTCCATCCTCTCATCAAAACCGCAAATCAGGCATGCTACTGAGCCGCCAGACGAGGGCGATTTCGTAGCGCAGGCGGCCCGGGCTGCAGAGATTGCGCTTCGAAGCACTCTGGGTTTGGCGTATTCAGACAAGATTCCGGAGGAGCCTGCATCGAAGACCCCGACGGTACAGCACGACACATCTACGACCCGTCCGCCTGCGCCAGTTTCCGAACCGTCAGAGCCTGTCCCGGATACCACTCCATCTAAGTCACCCGCAACCGAACAAAAGCCAACCGCCGAAGAGATTCCTCACGCGTCCCAGACTGCTCCTACGTCAGTTCTCTATGAGAGAGCCCGGTTGGCGGCCACAAAGGCCTCGCTTGCTCTCGAGAAGAAATCGTTGGCCCCAAGTCAGAGGCGTCCGTGGACCACGGAAGAAGAGAACGCTCTCATGACGGGTCTGGATCAAGTTAAAGGGCCTCACTGGAGTCAAATTTTAGCCATGTATGGGCCTGGAGGCACGATTAGCGAGGCGCTCAAAGATCGAAACCAGGTCCAGCTCAAGGACAAAGCGCGAAACCTGAAGCTGTTCTTTCTCAAAAGTGGTATCGAGGTGCCATATTATCTCAAATATGTGACTGGCGATTTGAAAACGCGTGCTCCAACGCAAGCTCTCAGACAAGAAGCCAGGGAGCGTGACAGGCTACTGGCCGAAGAGGATGAGGCTGCGTTAGATGACTTGCCAGGTGAGGGTGACAGTGAGGAACGGCTTGGGGAAGACGTATTTGACTCTACGTTCAATCAAGAGTCACCCCTTACCAATGGAGCCGGTCAAGGCACTCCCGCAGACGACTCGAAGAAATCCTTCGAACCAAGCATGGCAGATGTCGAGGCCATGATAACCAAGGCAACGGCACAGACGTCGCAGTCCATCCGGTCGAACTAGCTAAAGCACCAAACGGGAAAGGCAGAACTTCCCTCTTGGAGGAGGCTAATGTGATCATTTGGGCATTGCCAAGTCTTGATCGAACTCCCAACATTGAAGGGGAGGTTGTCATGGTGTGATTGGCCGATATGATGCCTTCTCGTGGAAGCGAGAGCGCTTAAAAGCTGGCATGGATCTGCCCTCAGTGGAGCTAGAGATGTATCTTGAGATGAATGATGATAATGTTGTAGACTCTATGACCAGCTTAGATACTTAAGCTATTCCGAATTCCTCATTTTTTGACATCTCGCTTTCTCTCCCACGATCCAGTGCAACGATCGCGAGGCTGAAGCGCTAGCAAGGTCAAACCTCGGCTAAATGTTGACCGACATTGCATCGGGAATCTCCCTGCGACGCCTTTGAAGAGTCTGGGCCTCCATCTTGCATACAAGCGAACACCTGCACCCGCCTCCCCCCTCCATCAAGACTTTCCTTCGTGTGCCACACTTTACACAGTGTATGGTAACACCACATCCACTGCGTACATTATTATCGAATCTTCAGATGATAATACGACCATGTCATCCCCAGGCGAAGCAACAGGAGGCGACACCGCCCCCAGAGACATTGACGCCGACGCCGAGATGGAGGACGCCACTACCCAAGATGCGGCAGCCAGACAGGACGAGAACGTAGATCACGATATGACAACCCAGACGGACACACAGCAACCTGGCGCGACGGCGACAACGGCGTCGGGTCTGCCGCATCATAACCGCAAGGATGTGACGTTACGAGAGTTTCTGAGCAAAATGGACGACTATGCGCCAATTGTACGTCCACCTCTTTTTCACCATACCCAGTGCCCTCTTCGATCTAAAAGATCAATTCAACTGCTGCTCTTTTATTGACCTCTACTAAACTGCTGTACTAGATCCCGGATGCTGTGACGGCTCATTACCTCACACTCTCGGGGCTCCCACCCCCATCTCCCGCCGACCCAACGGGCGCCAGCACGAACACTACCCCCCTCCCACTCGCTCGCCTCCTCGCTCTCGCAACCCAGAAATTCGTCGCCGACATCGCCGCGGACGCCTACCAATACTCGCGGATTCGGAGTTCGAATAACGCATTAAGCGGCCAAGGAATGGCTGGCATGGGCGGGGGAGGCGCGTCTACGTTTACAGGTGGCGCTTCTGGCGGATCTGGAGGGGCAGGCGCCGGGGCAGGTGGCGCGGGAGGAAAGAATCAACAGAATACGACGCTGGGAGTGCAGAGGAGCGGGTATGGCGGTGGAGGACAGGGTGGAAGCGCTCAGGGCAAGACCGTCTTGACAATGGAGGATCTGGGCATGGCTGTGCAGGAGTATGGCATCAACGTCAAGAGAGGCGAATTTTACAGATAACTCCAACAAAACGGTAACAAGGGCAGGCATTGGGCATTTGGGATTTTTCATAGTGGTTTTGTGGTGTGCATAGCGCATGGGAATCAATGTCAAGGTACTGGAAGGGACAGCTACCCTCCATGAACATCGGCTGACAGATGGATGGGCTGAATTGCAGGACCCAGGGATATCATTCGAGCTTCTCTTCATGGCGCCAGATGTGAGCCGGTATGACGGACAAACCAAGACCACAGCTTTTAATGAACCTAAGGCGTATGCTCCCCAACAATTCTTCCCGTCATAGACGCTCCAGTTAAGTCCTTGTTCATGTGAGGGAGACATGTGCCTCCAGCCTTTTGCTCCTCTGAGCTTGAGACTATCTTCTGGGAGGAAATGCCGAAAGCCAAGTATGTTGTGATTGTGGCTCAATGCGGAGGAAAATCTTCTCTTCGGGTGGGTGTCGCATAATGAGTTGGGAAGTCCCTTGCCTTCTCCTCGACTTGTTTACTTATTCTTGCTCATCTTGTATGTAAATCGTTTTCTTGTTCTAGCATCCCGTCAGCCGCTGTTGTCGCTTGCTCTGTTTTCTCCATTTTCCATGAGAAGGAAAAGGCCAAGGAGGGCGACTTACGGCACAAATTCGCCCAACTTCCTCCCGACCATCTCCTCCGTGATGTACACATCTTGATATATCTTGCCGTTATGCACGGCGAACTTCAGGCCGACGAAATTGGGCAGGATCGTGGCGGACCGTGCTTGGGTTTTGATTGTCGGGGGCGTTTTGCCGTGGACGACGGCAGGAAGTTCGGGGAAGACGAGGTTGGGGCCTATATAATTGTTGAGGGAAGTGAGCGTTCGGTACACGGTTGTAGAATATCGCCTCAGCCGATCATTGTGGGAGGTGGGAGCAATCAATACTGCGCGCATGCGCTGGGAGACGGTTGGATTCTCGTACCTTTCCAAACGGACCGCTTCAACAGCTGAAGTGTTGCACGCATTGTTACCGCAGGAGCATGGCCAGACCTTCTTCTCGACTGGGTGCGAACAACGCCGAGAAACAATCAAAAGGTCTTGACGAGGATTGATGGAGGGATAAAAATTACTTTTGCGAGTAGAGACCAATGGACGGAGTGGAGGGAGGCCTCTCTTGCCCTTTTCCCCCAGCAGCCAGAAGCCCGAAGCCCGCAGCTCACTGACGACGAATGAATCCCCATAAAAACTTTCTCTCCACATGTGCATCCCAGTCTGGATCTCGGACTCGCGATTCGGAATCGAGTCGTGCCCTCTCTCGGTCAGGACTCAGGAGTAATTACCACTCCTCGTTAATTTTGCGATTCTGGGGGACTTGCCCTGAATTTCCTCCTTTTCTTTTTCGGGAATTTATGACCATCGGATTTCTGTGCTCCCTTATTTTGCAAACGTAGGACATTGTCATGACCGCACGAGAATAGCCTTCGATAACTCTTTCTCTCGCACTTCCCGTCACGGACAACGGACCTCGCGAGACCTCTCTCTCTCTCCTCGAACGACCCTCCCGGCCCTTTCGGAACCCGCGTCACTTGCGAATCGCGCTCTTGCTAGGACACGGTATATCATCATGGCGCAAAGCGCGGTGGGATCATATTCGAATCCGCTGAAGAAATTCAAGTACGATGCGCCACATCTCTGCAGATATCATGGTTAGCATTCGGGGCTGATAAGATTTCCACAGACTCGTATTCTTAGGTGAACAGAGTGGTACGTGTTAATGACTCCAGCTGGAAGAGCCCATCATTGCGAGCGTGGGGACGCATTCTCACGCAATATTGTAACAACACAGTCGGCAAGACCTCCTTAATAACCCGCTTCATGTACGACTCCTTCGATACCACGTACCAAGCTACCATCGGTATCGACTTTCTCTCCAAGACAATGTACCTTGAGGACCGTACCGTCCGTCTCCAACTCTGGGACACCGCCGGGCAAGAACGCTTCCGCTCCCTCATCCCCTCCTACATCCGTGATTCGTCCGTCGCCGTCGTGGTGTACGACATCTCCTCTCGCAAAACATTCGAACAAACACGGAAGTGGATCGACGATGTGAGAGGGGAGAGAGGAAATGATGTGATTGTGGTTCTTGTTGGCAACAAGACAGATCTGGGTGATTCCAAGAGGGAGGTCACCACCCAACAAGGGGAAGAGGAGGCGAAGAGAGCTGGCGCCATTTTCATGGAGACCAGCGCGAAGTTGGGCCACAATGTCAAGGCGCTGTTTAGGAGAATAGCGCAGGCCTTGCCGGGCATGGAAGGCGAAGGGGAGCAACAGCCGAATCCCCAGAGTAAGCACATTCCCACGTCCTATTTAGAACGGGTCGAGGCTCTAACGCAAGCGCACTTTTCGCAGTGATTGATGTGTCAATAAACAACCAGAAACCGGCCGAAGAAGGGTGCGCTTGTTGATCACGAAGTGGGATTCCGAATTCGAATCCAAACTACACCTCCCGCTGTGGACGCGCACCGTGGGCGGCTCAAATATTGTTGGACTAGCATATGAGTGAGCCCACATCGACTCCCTGATCCGGAATAGACGTGCCATGATGTTTCTTGGAGGCTTGAACGAGATCGGTAAGAATATGATGCCAACGAGCATCGCACGGGAGACCTGCAGTGTGTCCTGTATATGCGGGCTGTTTCTATAGTGCGCTTGCCGTCATAAGTGTGGATCAGCGATCTATGGAGAGTGTGTGACAGAAGGAAATGAGGGGCCTTTTAGCATAGCATGGCGTTTTGGCTGTTTACTTCGACATAGCAGGAAGGGAAGAACGAAGGGAACTTTGTCGACTAATCATCAAGTTAGCTGGTCGTGCTGACTTGTGTATTGGCAGGCGAGGATAACTGGGTGTGTAAAAATGATATGGGACATCGGTCGCTTCAATCGTCAAATCATCGTCGTCGTCGCCGTCGCCACCGTCATCATCGTCCTCAGATCGTTGTGTTTCCGTGCACAGTGTACATCGGATCATTCTTCCTTCAACACGCGTTGCAATCTTTGTGCACGAGGCCTCCAAGCCCTTGCTGATTCTTGATCCCCTCGTCTCTCTTAAGGGGAATATACCTGCACGATGCCGCTGACCATGCAGCCATTCCACCCCATCAAATGCGCTATCCCCACGTGCCTAGTTTTTGTACCATAGTCTGCGCTCCGTGGTCGAGGTGAACCGTACTCGGCGCCGATGAGCCACACCCTCTGCAGCGATTTCTCCCGGTCCGTGTAGATGGGCTTCAGAGCGGATCGCTCGTGTCCTGTCTCACGGGGATATGTACCCATACCTAGTCGAGCTGGGGGCCTATACGCCGGGTGTGGTCCTCCTTGCAAAAGGAGTACTGTAAACTCGTTGGACAAGTTGTGAGGGAGTTCTAGATTCACCACGAACTGAACAGCGACAATCACATTCTCGCGGAGATTCTACCGCATCGTGAATCCCGTGACGATCTATCCTTTCACATCTTCATCGACGAAACGGTTCAGTAATTTGGCTAGAATTCATTTTCGACAATCGAAGGTAACGGTGCTGTGTTTCCGCTCCTGCCTTTTTCAAGGCCACGTATATATAGTATCTCGGTCTAATCATGAGAGAGCGACTGCCCTGGAGACATAGAGGTCCTCTACCAGACTCGAGGCCTCACAAAATACACTGGTTTAATGACATGTCGCGGAGTAACCTGCCTCTTGTCAGCTCAAAGCCCTTGCTAGATTGGCAGCTATAGGGTCCCTACATCACATTTGGTCCTCATGGCCTCTCACATAAGAACCTAACACATAGCTGGTGTCGTTCTAAATTCCAAACAAGGTTGATGGAAGAGAGAACCATGAATCCCCATCGACGGCAAGAATAAATGCCGAGGCGCTAAAATGTCTATCAAAGCGGGCCTTTCATCACCACAGATCTACATACCTACGAGGCACCTATATAGTTCCTACCTCTAGATCTCGCCTGAAAAAGAGCACCTTTATGAACATGAGCCAGTCAGGTCTCATACGAAGGCCAACGGGATATCGTGTCGACTTGCACTCGTCATTACGAAGCGTCATCTCCCCCAAACGGGACCTTTGAGGGGCGTCTCCTTCGTGCTCAGGCGCAGGAGGCTAACCGCATACAGTAGGTATCACTGGCGCAGGCCAAAAGGACGAACCTAAATATTAATACTTTCAAATAATAGACCCTGGAGGGCAGCCTTGAGGGTAATGAGACTGGAAGAGAGCCCTGTCCTCCGATGGCGGCGATATTCTACGCTGAGCACGACGAAGCCAGCAGACGCTCGTCCTGATACGGTAGGCATTGCTAGCGCTGGTGGGGGAGAGTGAAGACGAGCCCCCCCAGTGATTATTCCCCCAGGCCTTACGGACCTACAGCGATATAGAACCTAATGGGCTGTTTTGTTGTTAGCCACGTAAATAGCGTATATAAGGTCGAACGGAAGGGTGGAGCCTCTTACGGACCAGTTCCTCAATCCTCTTCCAACAGCGCTCCATCAAATCCACTTCGTCCAAGTCTTCACTCTTCGCCCCGAGATGAAGCTCTGCGCTTAGAGTTCGGTCCTCGACCTCCCAGTGTCCTCCGGACCACTCGCTCCTTTTCAAACACCTATAGGCTTTGCTCACCATACCAGTAAAGCCCTCTTCGCCTCCTTTTGATAATCTGGAAGTCATACCAGGAAAACATATTTCTCTTGGCGGCATGTCTCCTCCAAATCATGGGTCCGTTCCCTAGCTCACCTCTCCCAATACCTCTTTCCCTGGCAGTGGTCCGCCGCATAAGACCCATCTAGCTCATGATCGAGCTTTGACGCCCCTGCTGGCGCCGCAATTAGCCTGTCCTCTCTCCTGCATTGGTTGCAACAATCCATATCTCGCTATAAACGTGTATTCCTTGTGGTTGCTATCCGCATACTGAGTCATAAACACCGTGCATAGCACGAAGCGTTCGGACCCTTTCAATCACTGCTAGACTTAGACTAGCCAGAATAGTCTTCCTAAACTAGTCTCTGAGTAAGGTATCGGCCTGGCCTCGCTGAGGAGATGCGGGACTTTGTATGGTTACCAGCATAGGTGGGAGATACATACGGCAAATCTCGTGTCTCGCCGAGTAGGCAGTCGTCTATAAAATCATATCACAACGACTTGTATGTGGTGAAGAAATACATATACATATTGGTCCCTGAAGCGGCCCTGGACATGCCTAGCTTGCTCGGAGACACTGTTGGCATTTGTGGTAGAGTCAAATCACATATTCCCCATTTTCCCCATTTTTGGCCAGATCTGACATGCACAGTTGCGCAGAGGCATAGGTAGCGACTACTCATACTCAGTAGAAGCTCTAAGTGATTTGGTTGGTCTGGACGATTATCGCAAGAAGACTTGGACGAGGGCAGGGTGCGCCGTGAATATTGGTAGAGCTACTACTGGTCTGATCTGTGAGTGTCTGGTATGTATCCAAAGAAGGCCAAGCATTGTGTTCTTCTCGCAGCAGTGCTTAGTAATCTATCACAATACGAGGTAAGATGAGGTTTTTTGCATTGGCGTAAACTTATCGATAGGAAGGATACAACAAGGGGAGGAGGAGTGTCGTCAGTCGGCAATCTTGAGACCATTTTGCGTCATTGGAGTGTAACCACGGAGCAGCAATACGGGGTACAATGTACCAAGTACGCATCTATTAATACAAACCTAAAGGGAGGCATCAAATGGTAATTCGTTGCGTCAGCCTCGTAAGGAAGGATTGGAAAATGGGCCGGAAGGCACAAGTTCCAGGCGCCCGAGCCCGGGTTTAGGGGATCAAATTTCGGGGCCGTGAGTCTCTCAAATACGATTTGTTCGGGGAGGGCGATGCTGCTCCAGGTGCCCCCAGAGCTCATGTGCCTTAGGCATCATCCCCCGGAGCCTTGTGG